ACTTCCTGGCAGATGCTGTAAAACGCCTCTAACATCATACGGTCCAGTGTGCCTTCCGTAAAAGCTATAACCCGTGCCCTAGACCTTAAATGAAACTGTATGAAAAGTTGAGGAAGAAAAGCTATTCTTTTGGGTTTATTCACTGTTGCTACCTGAGCGATATGACATTCCTTTATGCAACAATGTATTAAGCATAAAAAAACACTAAATCAGTAGCGGCAGTTATGAAACCAATAATCCTCGTCGTTTTAATGTCGCAGATTGAGGTCATGAACTTCTTTTCTGCCTATTCCGTAGGAAAGGAACGGTAGGATTCATCGTTGATGCAACACTAGGGCAAGGGTGACGGTTGATCATGGTTTCAGTGCACGGTCACGGGAAAAATTTTTGACGTTTTCTTCATGAGTCTAGGTTTGAAAACACCTGTCTATTTGATTTGTCCAGTTATATTCTTGCCTGTTACAGTTTGAAGCGATAATAGGCAGGACACTTTGCTGGAAAAACTGACCATCGTTGGACGAGAGAGAGACTTCAGACAGGGTTCCAACCGGGAGTAGTCAGTCTATAGGAATACCTGCAAACCATTAGCACAATGAGCTGAAGAAATTTGTTGGATCAGGATGGATAATTGTTTGTTACGACTTTGAACTAAGTTGTTAAATTTACCTTTGATGATGATGTTTTAAGGATTGCCAGTGATGCAATAATCAGTAAACACTCTATGATTCTGTAAGTAAAATATTTATTTACGTAATGACAAGTGGTGTTCTTTTGTTTGCATCCATGGAGCAGTAAAATATCATGTCAATACGACAGAGTAATAAAGGCAAGCAACACATAGATGATAAACTGATACAGGCAAAAATCCAGAAGTTTTGACCAAATCAGGATTCACTTTCGTACTGTTATGAAAAAAGAGTAAATCTACTCCTTTGCTATTAACAATCAATCTAAACCACTCTCAAATTGGGAACTTTCAAAGTCAGTTAATTCCATGATTTGCATCAGAGTCACTGTTTTGTGAAAAATTTCATTTGATGCATAAATGTGAATCGTTTAGCGTTTTGAGGAATAGTCCTGCGGACGTAATCAAGGAGATTTTGCTGGTTGACGATTTCAGCGACAACGGTTTGGGGGTACAAGAGACGGAAACTTGACCTTAGATGTTATTGTTTAGTTGATGACGGTTCTGCGCTGGTGCAGATCGAGAAAGTGAGGCTTATTCGGAACTCAAAACGCGAAGGTAAGCATAACGATATGGAAGATCAATAATATATTGTCGGTAGCATGTGAATATTCGTTTTTGTAAGGTTTTTGATAATGTGTTTTAGGCCTGATGCGTTCAAGAATCATTGGTGTCGAAGCTGCTCAAAGCAAAATTCTTGTTTTCCTTGATAGTCATTGCGAATGCACCAAAGGTTGGCTTGAACCGTTGCTCGAACGGATACTCGAGGTAATTCATACTACTGACTGTTTTAATTAGTCATGTCTTTTGTTCATGTATTTTTGTATTGAAAATCATTAATTTAAATGTTGTATTTCGGAATAACAGAATATATACTAGCGAAAGGAGTAAGGTAGAAAATGGTTGTCAGAAATATTTAATGGTCGTGTTTAGAATAAAGTGTTAACCATATTTGAATACTTGATCTTATATTGAGTTCAGGTTATATTGTTTAGCTATTTTAAAAAAGACTTCGCATGCTTTAACTAATAAGACAACGAAAAACCAATGCATTGTACGATTTGACCAAACAATTGTTAAAAGATTTGGTTCGGTTTGAAAGCCTCTTCTCATCGCAGCCCACGAATTTACGCATTGCGAAATTTTTTAGAAAGGCTTGTAATCTTTCTCTAATTCAAAGGCATTAGACCGCTATCTGCACAAATTTAGTGATGCTGCACGTTATGGACAAGAAACAAGAGCAAAACCGAAGGTTTCTCATCTCTTCTGCATCAGTGTCCCTTGCACTTCCATGGGTGAGCACTTTCTGGTTCCCTAGTTTTATGAAGAATAATGATAATACCGTATTATTCGTCAACAACCAAACCATGTGACCTATTTTTTTCAGTGCTATTAATACGGCTAGGTGACTACTACAGGGTGTACTCTTTTTTTCTAGTGGTAGACATCTGTTAACTGCCTCGCTACCTGACTGACGTCAAAGCCTGCAAATTTTTGGTTGTTAGTCTGGCGCTCAACGACTGATTTACCCTGACTTGTCCTATTCCTTGAGTGAAAAAAGTTTTAATGATACATTGCAAGTTTTTTAGCTTCTACATTTTTTCAACCATTATTTAGGATTAGCTGCGGTAAAGAAAATATGCTATGCCTATGGCGTAAAGTGTAAGTTGCAATCAGCGATGTGAATTTACGAGCTCGACCGCCTCTGTTAATCTTGCAATTTATATTACGCTTCATTCGATGTTGCGGCAAAGGTCATATTCTCCGTAGCAGCAATTATATCATTATTTACGCGTTGTTAGTACATTCGATTCCGGTTAATTGGGTCACATCGGGACTGTAAAACTTTGAGCTGATTAAGCAAGGCTGCCAAAGTTATGCAAGATAAATATGCAGAAAAGATATAAAAAGACAAATTAACGCTTCAGTGGGCAAGAAATGATTTATTCCAATCAATTGCTATTGCAATACATGTTGAATTATCATTAATTTAACAAATGAATTTGATATTTAAATATTCTTCATAATGGACTGTTTCCATTTTCTGTTTTCCTCGACATCAACATTGTTAATGATCTCTCTTAGGATACGTCTGTTATCCTCAAAATCGTTCAATCGAATTGTATTAAAACAAATTACACAACAAATTAGAGAAACTATATCATATTCAAATTTGCGCGTACTTTTCAATATCTGGCTCCTAATAGTCATTACCGGAAGAATGTCTCCAGTGTACAATACCGTATTCTTCTGACTGGCTGTGATTAAACAAAATCAGTACAGGCATGTTATGCATACAGTGGACTTTCTTCTTGCATGAAGTATCGTCGTAACACATCAGTAAGTTTTCTGGCTAGTTTCATTCAAGTTCAGATATATTATTTTCGTCACTTTCCTCGCCTTCCAATCTTTTCTTTTGGTATGTTAATCGAATCATTTCAACGATTTCATCCTCTCAGCGTTTATTTTCATTGTAACATTCAAAATTATTGTCGATACCTTGAAATTTTTCATGGTTCCTGACGTTTTGCACTTCTGAAATGGCTTCATATTCACTTTTGGCTCTCTCAGACATCTCCATACTTGAATGCTTGAGACTGTAGTGAGAAAAACAGTTTTGCATTGTTTCCCTGCCTATTACTCGTCAAGTGGCGGCATCGAATTGTATCGCTTGGAGAAGGTTGACCTTTGAACTAAGTTCCTTGGCTGTGGAAGATGATATCGGTAAATTTTCTTTCATCGCATCTAGCATGTGGTTCACCAACTTTTGACGGTACGGAATCTTTAAAATTTTTTTATGATTTTAACTTCGTTGCCAGCATTAAGGATGATGTTGTGTTTGCAGGCAGAAATTCCATCTGGATGGTTTTCAAAAACTCGAACACTGAGAGTGTGTCATATAACTGTCAAGAAGCAGTATAATCTTTCTCTTTTAACTGTGACTTCACATCTTATCTCATTAATCATTTTAAATAAAATTTCAGTCTTCATTTTGGCATATTACTCAACTGTTAGCCCCTTCAAGGCGAGGCTTAGTGCTTTTCTCAATAGCCGACATCTTTTTTAAAAGAAGTTTGTCAGTTCTTTACATGTTTGAACAGGATAACACAAGTATGCGATTCATTTATTTTCTCAGAATCTGAAAATTTTATTTCCTCGTAGCAGAGAGAACCATCAAGCATAACAGACATATTTACGTGACAGCATTGTAATTACGATTTTCGTAAAATTTCTGAACTAATTCTTTTACTTTTTTTGGATTTCCATTCTTCTGCATTTAAAGTATCAGCACTTACATTTTTTGTCATGTGTTTAGTTGAATTTAATCTAATGCCTACATTTATATCAGGACATTTAACCATCGGCTGCTTTAAAACTCGCATCATTGTCTAACTTCCTAGGTAGCTCTTACAACTTTATTTTTTAACATTGGACCACTGAAGCGCGCTCCTAATCTAGTTACAATGGAGAACTGATTTAGAGCATCGTTAAGGCAGGTATTCTTACTTTCGTGAATATATATAGGTCGAGAAAAAGAACGAAAACAGATTTTGAGAACGAAGGTTCTTTAATTTAAATCTCAAAATGGGTCAAGTCCCAGGAATAGAAGACCTTCCAGTAGTACAAAAAATGGTATACTTTTTCCTTCAATCATCGACTGCATTTTAAGGCCAGTTTACAATTTGGTAAAATACCTTATGACATTAATGAGATCACTGATAAGACTCAACGGCTTATCGATTAAAAATTCCATTGACTTTAGGCAGAGATTACTATGAGAGAACATTCAGGAAAAGAAATTATCTTGCGCTTTCGCACTGTGTCTTTTTTCACGTGTTCCGGTTCAACAAGCTATGCAAGCGGTGATAGAACGGCTCAACGCGATGCAAAGTTAGAAAAAATGTGTCTCCATTGCTTAGGTTCTTAAATGCGTCAGCTTTTGCCTGGAAACACTTGGTTTGCATTCAACAGATAGATCTACTTACAGGCTATTGATTGGAGGAACAAAATAAGAAGGAAAAGAAGAAGAATTTTCTAAGCTATGTTTTCTGATGATTATGCAATCAAGTGTCACCACGAAGGCTGGAGATGATTCAGAAAAAAATAAAAAGTAAACAGACTCTCTTAATGTCTTGTTCTGACTAAGCGGCATGTGTTCTCAGATAAGCCTAGAAAATCTTGGTTAATTACTCAATTAGATTCTGTTCGGCTGCTCAAATTAACCGGAATCGACTGTATATGCGGTACACGGTAACTACCTCAAATCAGTGTTGCACCGATTGATTGGTCATGAGTTTGAAGTTGCCCAAATCATTCGCTTCTCAATTTTTGTGAAATTCAGTAGATTGATGAGTATCGCAGTGTGCGAAAGAAACAATTGATTATTTGCTGTAGTAAACAACCAGTAGCAGCATCATCACCGAAGTGTATCAGAGGCTGACATCCCCTTGGTTACACTTTTTCAATTTTTATTTATGCTTTACTCATGGTACATTTTTGATCAATACCACAGTTTAGATTTTGCGAAAATTTCGTAATTATTCTGTTTTCTGACATTTTCTATATTGCGGCGTTGTTTTTTTATTCCTCCTTGAAACGTTATATTCTCTTAGGATAGCACTGTTGTTGTTTCGCCGGTCATCGATGTGATCGATTTGGAAACTTTTGAATATTTGCCGGTGTACACCGCTCTGATTGGAGGTACAAAATATCCAACATTTGCGACCTCCAAACGTTGTTTTCAAGGCTTCGGCTGGGACCTGAACTTTCAGTTTGGTAAATTGACGGGCGAACAACTCAATCATCATATGCAAAACAGTGACGCACCAATTCCGTAAAGCTGGCAAAGATTTACAGTCATTCTTGTCATACTGATAATGCGCAGGACTCCGGCGATTGCTGGTGGCTTATTCGCCATCGATAAAAGCTGGTTCGAGAGACTCGGCAAATACGACGATGAAATGGAATTGTGGGGAGGTGAAAACTTAGGTAATTTTATCTTTTTATGAAGGCGATGAGTAATAAGCATAAATATTTCTTAAATGCTATCAGAGATAAAAAATTTTTGAATACTGTCAGCCAGTCGTCATCTGGCTCCTTATCAATTTTGGTTTTTCCCTCCAGCCAAACTACCCTACTCATTGTGTAGCTCTGGTTGACTGCAGAAACCAGACGATGTTGGGTTTCCTTCGATAACGCAGTAGGATCTTACAAGTAGTATTTGTTGTCGCTCTGTACTCTAAGAGTTAGGATGTTTCCTGTAACCCAGGTCATGTTTGTTATCTTCCTTCTCATCCAAACCTTGTTTA